GGGGCGGGGGGGGGGGAAGTCATTACATTGGAAGGGTTGCCCAATCGCACACAAAGCAACCAATTTAGTTGATAAATTGACGGACGTTGTTGACTCGCGGATGCACCAATAAATATTCTCCAGGTTGCACAGATTTCCCAGGTTCAAGGTTTCATAGATTTCCCAGGCTTCTTCAAGACGGCGACCGCACAACAAACACAGCGGATGACAGCCGGGGGGAGAGAACAGCAGGGGGAGGGGAACACAGGTTGCACACCCATCGCTCCCATCACCCCGATTACCATCGCCCCCATCGCCCCGGCACCATCGCCCCGGCACCATCGCCCCGGCACCATCGCCCCGTCACCGCGTGACCCCCCCGCACCCCCGCCCACCGCCCCCTTTCACCGGCACGTGCATGCGAGCGCGACCATGCCCATGTACAGCTTGTAGACGATGCCGCCGTGGGGCTCCCACACGAGCATGCCGATGGCGCCGTAGCGAGAGGGCACGCAGGCGGCCCGCCCCACGCCCAGCTCCGGGCGGACCTCCTCCACGGTGGCGCGCACCGCCGCGTGGTTGGGCTCTCCCGGGGCTTGCAGGAGGAGGCCGCGGGGACAGCCCCCGCGGCAGTCGCCCGCCTCGTAGCTTCGCGGCTCAAACACCCACCGCTCCCAGCCCAGGTCGGCGAAGTTGATCGTCAGGTTGCGCAGGCGGCAGCCGTTGGGGTAGGCGCCCAAGTAGTGGCGCGCCGACGGCTGCTCCTGCTGCTGCTCCTGCTGCTGCTCCTGCTGCCGCTCCTGCTCCTGCCGCTGCCGCAACTGCCGCCGCCGCAGCTGCTGCCGCTGCAGCCGCTTGAAGTTCCGCAGGAGCTGCTGGTGGGGGGACAATGCCGAGGAGGCGGATTGACGCCGATTTGGGGGCTCGTGCGGGTCGAGCCCCTTGGGCGGCGAGCGCGCCACCCTGCGGCGGCGCCTCCTCCTCGCTCTCCCGGAGGGGCACGGGGCCCACCGGAGGCCCTCGTCGCACCCCCAGGGCCCGCTTCCGGAGCTCCGCTTCAAGGCGGCGGCGGCGGGGGCCGTCGTCGTCGTTACCGCCGGCAGGACGTCGTCCGAGTAGAGGAGGAGAAACGGCGTCACGGCGGCGCGACGAGGGGACGCAGCTCCAGGCCACGCGCAGCACCAGCGGCGAGGAGGAGGAGGGAGACGGAGAGGAGGAGGAGGAGTAGGAGGGAGATGGAGAGGAGGAGGAGGAGTAGGAGGGAGACGGAGAGGAGGAGGAGTAGGAGGGAGACGAAAAGGAGGAGGAGGAGGAGGGAGACGAAGAGGAGGAGGAGGAGGGAGACGGAGAGGAGGAGGAGGAGGGAGACGGAGAGGAGGAGGAGGATGGAGAGGAGGAGGCGGGAGACAGAGAGGCGGCAGGGTGGCCCAAGAGGCGCGACACGGGCCCCGTGACGTCCACCTGGAACCACTCGCCGCCAGCGACACCCTCGTCGTCGTCGTCGCCGTCGCCACGGGAGCCTCCGGCTCGGGGTCGTCCGAGACGGGGTCCCCGTTGAGGCTCTGCGCAAGGTCTGGGTCGGAGTCCAGCTCAGGTTTGGGTGTCGGTTGAGGGCTCCGGCCGGGGCTTGGCACCGTCTCGGGGTTTGAGTTTGGCTCCAGGTTGGGGTCACCGCTGGGCTCTGGGTCGTCCGCGGGCTCCGAGGCCCCGTGGTCCGCTCCGACGGAACTCCCCGGCAACACCTGAGAACACGGAAGGGCGGCCCGGTTCACCCCCCGTCACAATCACCGCTGGTGGACGGTCACAGATGTTCATCGGTAAAGAACCCCCCCCACCCCCCTCTCAGATGCGGGTCACAGATGTTCATCGGTAAAGAACCCCCCCCCCCCCCTCAGATGCGCGTCACAGATGCTGGATAACGATTGGCCCATTCCATGTGAAGGCGGCTTGCCCCTCCCCTGATCCCATCTGCTTCAATGCTGCTTCCACCTCTTCATCCGCGTCTTCTAGCACAGGGTAAGGAAGTTGCTACGGTGGTAAAGTGCGATAACGGGGTAAAAAGCACCAATCTTCTCTCTCTGACAGCCACCAATCACGGAGCGGTGACACGCGGGGTAACACGTGGGGTACTGTGCAAGTAACAAGGTAACACGTGGGGTACTGTGCTAGTAACAAGGTAACACGGGGGGTAACACGTGGGGTACTGTGTTAGTAACAAGGTAACACGTGGGGTACTGTGTTATTAACAAGGTAACACGTGGGGTAACACGCGGGGTAACACGTGGGGTACTGTGTTAGCAGCGGGGTTAACACGTGGTGTCACGTGGTGACGTGTTAGTTACGGGGTAGCAGGTGTAGTGGGGTGGGGGGTAATGGGGGGGGGGGGGTCACGTGGTGTCACGTGGTCACCCGCAGGGAGCAGGGGGCGTGGCCGTCCCCAGGGTAGACGAGGACCGCGCGCTGCAGCAGCTCCCCGCGCGGCACCACACGCAGGTCAAAGGTCACCACCTCGGCTACGCACCCGGGTCAAGGGGTCAACAGGTCAAGGGGTCAACAGGGCATAGGGTCAAGGGGTGGAACTATCGCACGGGGTTGTACAGCGGGGCGGGGAGTCGCGCGAGGCCGTCTTTGTCTCCCCAGTGGCGAAGTTAAAACACGTCGCACTTTTGAGGCTGAGTCGACCCAGGGGAGGATCCAGTCCGGCTCGGATAATTATCGTGACTCGGGTTGGCCAGGAACAGGAATCGAACTCATTCTCACCCTCCCACTCACCCTCCCACTCACCCACCCTCTCACCCACCCTCCCACTCACCCACCCACTCACCCTCCCTCTCACCCTCTCTCTCACCCACCTGTGCCCGCGATGTCCCCCAGGGCTGGGCTGTTGCGTGCGGGCGTCACGAGTCTCGCCGTGCTGCCGGGGAGGGCGCTGGGACCGCCCCGCGGCCTCCCGTGCGCGTCCACCTCCCGCCGGAAGAGCGCCCGCATGAAGCGCACGTGGTCGTCGTTGTCGTTGTGGTCGTGGTTGTTGTGGTTGTTGTGGTTGAGAGAGACAAAGGCGGCCACACTCTCAGCATCGCCTCCTCCTGCTGCTGCTCCTGCTGCAGCTGCTGCGCCGTTCTCTGCACCGGCGCAGGCGGCGAGACCGAGGAAGCAGGCGACACAGAGGCCGCCAGGCAGCAGCAACAACAACAATCCCCTAGGCTTCACCACCACCATCATCATCTTCATCTCACTAGAACTATTCTCCTTGCCGCTGTGCGCTCCTCTCGCCCGGGAGTGTCTCGAGGCGGCAGCAGCAGCCGCCCGCTGCGCCACGCGGAGTTGGTTTGTCTCCGCTGCTCGCGACGTCGCCCGCTGCTGCTGCTGCTGCTGCTCGAGACTTCCCGCAGGGAGCGCCACGTGCCGCGCCTCCATCTTTATAGCGCCACGCCGCTTGGGGGGAGGGAGGTGGGGGCTGGTGATGGCGTGTGTCTGGGGGAGGGGTCACGGGGCGTGGCTAGCAGGCCACGGGTGGGAGGGATTAGATGGGGGCGTGGCTAGCAGGCCACGGGTGGGAGGGGTTAGATGGGGGCGTGGCTAGCAGGCCACGGGTGGGAGGGGTTAGATGGGGGCGTGGCTAGCAGGCCACGGGTGGGAGGGGTTAGATGGGGGCGTGGCTAGCAGGCCACGGGTGGGAGGGGTTAGATGGGGGCGTGGCTAGCAGGCCACGGGTGGGAGGGGTTAGATGGGGGCGTGGCTAGCAGGCCACGGGTGGGAGGGGTTAGATAGGGGCGTGGCTAGCAGGCCACGGGTGGGAGGGATTAGATGGGGGCGTGGCTAGCAGGCCACGGGTGGGAGGGATTAGATGGGGGCGTGGCTAGCAGGCCACGGGTGGGAGGGGTTAGAATGGGGCGTGGCTAGCAGGCCACGGGTGGGAGGGGTTAGAAGGGGGCGTGGCTAGCAGGCCACGGGTGGGAGGGGTTAGAATGGGGCGTGGCTAGCAGGCCACGGGTGGGAGGGGTTAGAATGGGGCGTGGCTAGCAGGCCACGGGTGGGAGGGGTTAGAATGGGGCGTGGCTAGCAGGCCACGGGTGGGAGGGAGGTTGAGTGAGCAGCAGGGTTGGTGTGTAGTTGAGAGACTGAGTGGCTCGGTGAGTGAGTGTTGGGTGGGTGAAGTGAGTTGGTGGGTGGGTGATTGAGTAAGTGGGTGAGGGGTTGGGTGAGCAATGAATTGTGTGGGTGTGTTTTTTGTTCGTGAGTTTATGGGTGAGTGAGTGGGTGAGTGAGTGGGTGGGTGAGTGGGTGAGTAAGTGGGTGGGTGAGTGGGTGAGTGAGTGAGTGGGTGAGTGGGTGAGTGAGTGAGTGGGTGAGTGGGTGAGTGAGTGAGTGAGTAGGTGAGTGGGTGAGTGGGTGGGTGGGTGAGCAAGTGGGTGAATGGGTGTGTTGGTGGATGAGTGTCGTAGGGTGAGCAAGTGGCTAACTGAGTGAGTGAGTGGCTGGCTGGGTGGGTGAGTTGTTGACTGAGTGGGGTCAGTGTAAGTTGATGTGGCAGGCCACTGTTAGTATTCAGTGGCATATTAAACTGCTGACTTCGCTATTTCTGAGTTTTCTTCCCCCACAAACACCACTTCACCCACAACCAGGTGCCCTTTTTTTTACTAAAATACCAAAAAAAATTCGTTTGAACAAAACGATTCCGACAAAATGTTGAGGCGGTAAAGTGAATTAAAAACTCACAATGAGCTGAATTATCTGTGTCGTGTTATTGTGTCTTTAGCACGCAGCCTCGCCCCCCTCCCTTGCACCCCCCCCTCCACCAGCCCCGCCCCCCTCCACCCTCTTGCACCCTCCCCACCCCCCCTCCACCCGCCCCGCCCCTCCACCCTCCCCCCTCCACCCTCCACCCGCCCCGCCCCTCCACCCGCCCCATTGCACCCCCCTCCACCCGCCCCGCCCCTCCCCCTCCACCCTCTCTACCCCGCCCCCCTCCACCCCCCCCCTCCACCCGCCCCCACCCGCCCCGCCCCCCTCCACCCGCCCCCACCCGCGTCTCTCCGTGAAGGTTGAAAGCTTCTCAGCCGCCGCCATTTCAGTCTCCGACCGACGGCGCGAACAGCAGCAGCAGCAGGTGAGATGGTGTAGAGGCTCGCCCCGGCCCACACACACACACCACACACACCACCACCACCACCACACACACCACCACACACACCACCACCACACACACACTCCCACCACACACAACACCACACACCACCACACACCACCACACACCACCACCACCACCACACCACCACACACACCACCACACACACACTACCACCACACACACCACCACCACCACACACACCACCACACACACTCCCACCACACACACACCACACACCACCACACACCACCACACACACACCACACACACCTACACACACCTACACGCACACACATACACACACATACACACACGCACAGACGCACAGACACACACGCGCGTGTGTGTCTGTGTGTGTGCGTGTGTGTATGCGTGTGTGTGTGTCTGTGTGTGTGCGTGTGTGTCTGTGTGTGTGCGTGTGTGTGTGTCTGTGTGTGTCTGTGTGTCTGTGTGTGTGTCTGTGTGTGTGCGTGTGTGTCTGTGCGTGTGTGTGCGTGTGTGTCTGTGTGTGTGTGTGTCTGTGTGTGTGTCTGTGTGTGTGTCTGTGTGTCTGTGTGTGTGTCTGTGTGTGTGCGTGTGTGTGTGTGCGTGTGTGTCTGTGTGTCTGTGTGTGTGTCTGTGTGTGTCTGTGCGTGTGTGTGCGTGTGTGTGTGTCTGTGTGTGTGTCTGTGTGTGTGTCTGTGTGTGTGTCTGTGTGTGTGTGTGCGTGTGTGTGTCTCTGTGTGTGTGTCTGTGCGTGTATGCGTGTGTGTCTGTGTGTGTGTGTCTGTGTGTGTGTGTCTGTGTGTGTGTCTGTGTGTGTGTGTGTGTCTGTGTGTGTGTCTGTGCGTGTGTGTGTCTGTGAGTGTCTGTGCGTGTGTGTGTGTCTGTGTGTGTCTGAGTGCGGATTTGGTGGGGGGGGGGGGGTCATTGCGTGTGTTGTTGTTGTCGTCGTCGCAGCAAGCGGGCGCCATGACGGAGTACAAGCTGGCGGTGGTGGGCGCTGAAGGCGTTGGCAAGAGCGCCCTCACCATCCGGCTCGCCCACAACCACTTTGTGGACGACTACGACCCCACCATCGGGGTGAGCGCCGGCGGCCGCGTCGTGTTTAGCACCGCAGTGGCCCATCCACCCACCTGCTCGACCACCTCACCCACCCAATAACCCACCCACCCATCCACCCACCTGCTCACCCGCTCGCCCACCTCACCCACCCAATAACCCACCCATCCACCCACCTGCTCACCCGCTCGCCCACCTCACCCACCCAATAACCCACCCAACCATCCACCCGCTCACCCGCTCGCCCACCTCACCCACCCAATAACCCACCCATCCACCCAATAACCCACTCACCCACCCACCCACCTGCTCGACCACCTCACCCACCCAATAACCCACCCAACCATCCACCCACCTGCTCACCCGCTCGCCCACCTCACCCACCCAATAACTCACCCACCCACCCAATAACCCACTCACCCACCCACCCACCTGCTCACCCACCTCACCCACCCAATAACCCACCCAATAACTCACCCACCCATCCACCCACCTGCTCACCCACCTCACCCACCCAATAACCCACCCACGCACCCAATAACTCACCCACCCATCCACCCACCTGCTCACCCCACCTCACCCACCCAATAACCCACCCAATAACTCACCCACCCATCCACCCACCTGCTCACCCACCTCACCCACCCAATAACCCACTCACCCACCCATCCACCCACCTGCTCACCCGCTCTCTCGTCGACCTGCTCACCCAACCGCCTACTCACCCACCCATCTACCTCCTCACCCACCCACCTACTCGCCCACCCACTCGCCTACTCATCTGCTCACCCACCCACCTACTCGCCTAGTTACCCACCCACCTACTCGCCCACCCACTTGCCCACCTACTCACCCACCCACCTACTCGCCCACCCACTTGCCCACCTACTGACCCACCCACCTATTCACCCACCCACCTACTCGCCCACCCACCTACTCGCCCATCCACTTGCCCACCCACTCGCCTACTCATCTGCTCACCCACCCACCTACTCACCCACCCACCTACTCACCCACCCACTCGCCCACCCACTCGCCCACCCACTCGCGCACCCACTCGCCCACCCACTCGCCCACCCACTCGCGCACCCACTCGCCCACCCACTCGCCCACCCACTCGCCCACCCACTCGCCCACCCACTCGCCCACCCACTCGCCCACCACTCGCCCACCCACTCGCCCATCCACTCGCCCACCCACTCGCCCACCCACTCGCGCACCTCGTGTGTCGTGCCGCCCTGCACAGGTGCCGCTGCTGCTGCCGTCTGTGTCTGCAGCAGTCAGTTCTCCTGTGACGCGGTTGTCGCTGCGTTCTTAAAGAACCCCCCCCCCCCCAGATGATAATAAATAAATGTATAATCCAGGGGGTCGAGCACGCTCCGCGATCAAACACGTGCGGCGCGCAACGCGGGCCGAAGAGACCCAAGAGGCACGTGGAGTAGCGTTGGGTTCTTAACCTTCACTGCGGACTCGCCACCCCCTTGGTTGTCAGTCGTAAAGAAAGCTGCGATGTTGACAACGACTTCTAGACTCTAGAGGGTGTTGGTGAAACAAAGAAAGCTGCGATGTTGACAACGACTTCTAGACTCTAGAGGGTGTTGGTGAAACAAAGAAAGCTGCGATGTTGACAACGACCTCTAGACTCTAGAGGGTGTTGGTGAAACAAAGTTGCGTACTCCCGTTGCCTCGTGGCTCAATTTGTGTTTTCGACGATTTGACCTTGGGGGGGGGGGGGGGGTGGCGAGATGCGCCCCCAGGTTCACATCCAGCAGCATCCCGACGCCGCCGGCGTGCGACGACGCTGCGAGGGCACGTCCACGTCGCGCGACGCATCTGCGAGGCTAATCATTCCCGGTGTTGGGGATGGGGGGGTGGGGGCATTCTCCGTGCGTGCCTCGGCGCAGGACTCGTACCCGAAGCAGCGGGTGGTGGTCGATGGCGAGACCTGTCTGCTGGACATCCTGGACACGGCCGGGAAGCAAGAGTACAGCGACATGCTGGAGCAGTTCATGCACGAGGGCGAGGGCTTCCTGTGCGTCTTCGCCGTCAACAACTCCAAGTCCTTCGAGGACATCCCCCGGTACAGGTGGGTTGGTGGGTGGCTGACTGCAGCTACTGTAGCAAGTCAATTGCAGTGAACACGAATTGTTGTTATCTTGCCGGGTAAGGCCGCACTGAGCCGTGTAGTTCTTTTTCAAAAGCGATCACAAATGATAACCACGACTCGAAGTGGCTTATCATCGTGTGGAAATCTACTAGCAGCAGCCAAATCCACTCGACCACGGTTGAGAGGGAGACAGAGAGAGAGACACGGGGGGTCGTAGCGGTGGGGCTGGTTGAGAGGGAGACAGAGAGAGAGACACGGGGGGCGTAGCGGTGGGGCTGGTTGAGAGGGAGACAGAGAGAGAGAACACGGGGGGCGTAGCGGTGTCGGCTGGTTGAGAGGAGACAGAAGAGAGAGACACGGGGGGCGTAGCGGTGGGGCTGGTTGAGAGGGAGACAGAGAGAGAGACACGGGGGGCGTAGCGGTGGGGCTGGTTGAGAGGGAGACAGAGAGAGAGACACGGGGGCGTAGCGGTGGGGCTGGTTGAGAGGGAGACAGAGAGAGAGACCACGTGGGGCGTAGCGGTGGGGCTGGTTGAGAGGGAGACAGAGAGAGAGACACGTGGGGCGTAGCGGTGTGGGCTGGTTGAGAGGGAGACAGAGAGAGAGACACGGTGGGCGTAGCGGTGGGGCTGGTTGAGAGGGTGAGACAGAGAGAGAGACACGGGGACGAGAGAGACACGTGGGGCGTAGAGGTGGGGCTGGTTGAGAGGGAGACAGAGAGAGAGACACGGGGGGCGTAGCGGTGGGGCTGGTTGAGAGGAGACAGAGAGAGAGACACGGGGGGCGTAGCGGTGGGGCTGGTTGAGAGGGAGGACAGAGAGAGAGACACGGGGGGCGTAGCGGTGGGGCTGGTTGAGAGGGAGACGGAGAGAGAGACACCGGGGGGCGTAGCGGTCGGGCTGGTTGGGAGGGAGAGAGAGAGACGTGCAGACTCCAAATATACAGCAGCAACAGGCATCGTCAGCGGTCACGACGGTCGTGGCTTTTTTGTTGTTGATGTGCTTGTGTAATCTGGGGTGCACGCCACCCCCAGGGCTTGTGAGATGCGGCCAGATTTTATTCAGAAGGTAAATGGAAACAAATGAAGCCATGGGGCAACGTGAGTACGCAACTTTGTTTCGTCAACAACACTCTACGTCACTGTGTTTCTTTTACAATTGAGAAACAAAGTGGATGGCAAGGCTGCGGTCAAGGTTAAGAAGCACTGGCTCAGAGGCGGGGGGATCTTTGAAGGAGGAGATTGGAGGGAGAACTACAACATGGGAAAGGTTTGGGAATCGGAGGGATGATTTACAGGGGAGGGGGACTGAGACCCCGACCTCTGCCGTGGCTTCCGTGCGCAGGGAACAGATCCAGCGCGTCAAGGGCTCGGAGGACGTGCCGATGGTGCTGGTGGGGAACAAGTGCGGCGTGCCCACGCGGACCGTGGACACGAAGCAGGCGCAGGAGCTGGCGCAAGGCTACGGCATCCCCTTCGTGGAGACCTCCGCCAAGACCCGGCAGGCACGCGGACGCCGGGGGAGAGAGGGGGGGGCAGCTGGGGGGGTTGGTGAGTAGCCAGGGGGGATAAGTGGCGGCCGGTGGGAATGTGGCGCGCTGCGCCGTGAACCCGGCGGTCCAGGGAGTTCCCACGTGCCTGGGAGGCCACGTGGCCACGTGTGAGGCTACCCGTGTTGGGTCTGCGTGTCCGTCTGTGTGTGAGGCTACCCGTGTTGGGTCTGCGTGTCGTCTGTGTGTGAGGCTACCCGTGTTGGGTCTGCGTGTCCGCCTGTGTGTGAGACTACCCGTGTTGGGTCTGCGTGTCCGCCTGTGTGTGAGACTACCCGTGTTGGTCTGCGTGTCTGCCTGTGTGTGAGACTACCCGTGTTGGGTCTGCGTGTCCGCCTGTGTGTGAGGCTACCCGTGTTGGGTCTGCGTGTCCGCCTGTGTGTGAGGCTACCCGTGTGGGGTCTGCGTGTCCGCCTGTGTGTGTGACTACCCGTGTTGGGTCTGCGTGTCCGCCTGTGTGTGAGGCTACCCGTGTTGAGTCTGCGTGTCCGCCTGTGTCTGAGGCTACCCGTGTTGGGGTCTGCGTGTCTGCCTGTATGTGAGGCTACCGTGTTGGGTCTGCGTGTCCGCCTGTGTGGACTACGCGTGTTGGGTCTGGCGTGTGTCCGCCCTGTGTGTGTGGCTACCCGTGTTGGGTCTGCGTGTCCGCCTGTGTGTGAGGCTACCCGTGTTGGGTCTGCGTGTCTGCCTGTGTGTGAGGCTACCGTGTTGGGGTCTGCGTGTCCGCCTGTGTGTGAGGCTACCCGTGTTGGGTCTGAGTGTCCGCCTGTGTGTGAGGCTACCGTGTTGGGTTTGCGTGTCCGCCTGTGTGTGTGGCTACCCGTGTTGGGTCTGCGTGTCGCCTGTGTGTGAGGCTACCCGTGTTGGGTCTGCGTGTCTGCCTGTGTGTGAGGCTACCCGTGTTGGATCTGCGTGTCCGCCTGTGTGTGAGGCTACCCGTGTTGGGTCTGAGTGTCCGCCTGTGTGTGAGGCTACCCGTGTTGGGTCTGCGTGTCCGCCTGTGTGTGAGGCTACCCGTGTTGGGTCCTGCGTGTCTGCCTGTATGTGAGGCTACCCGTGTTGGGTCTGCGTGTCCGCCTGTGTGAGGCTATCCGTGTTGGGTCTGCGTGTCCGCCTGTGTGTGAGGCTACCCGTGTTGGGTCTGCGTGTCTGCCTGTGTGTGAGACTACCCGTGTTGGGTCTGCGTGTCCGCCTGTGTGTGAGGCTACCCGTGTTGGGTCTGCGTGTCTGCCTGTGTGAGGCTACCCGTGTTGGGTCTGCGTGTCCGCCTGTGTGTGAGGCTACCCGTGTTGGGTCTGCGTGTCTGCCTGTGTGTGAGACTACCCGTGTTGGGTCTGCGTGTTCCGCCTGTGTGTGAGGCTACCCGTGTTGGGTCTGCGTGTCCTGCCTGTGTGAGACTACCCGTGTTGGGGTCTGCGTGTCTGCGCGTCTCTGCACGTGCCGAGTCGGTCCCGTACGAGAGCACGTGGCCCTCCCTCTAACAAACTCCCTCCGGTGGCGGCCACTGCGTGCGTCTGTCCTGCAGGGCGTGGAAGATGCCTTCTGCACCCTGGTGCGCGAGATCCGCAAGTACAAGGAGCGCCGCGTGAGCAAAGACGTGTGCAAGAAAAGAAAGAAATCGAAGAGGAGGAAGTGCCGCCTCATGTGAATTTCATTTCCCCTCCCACCCCGCCCATTCCTCCTCCCTGCCTCTCCCCTCCCTCCTCCGACGGTGACGAGAGAACGACAACCACCAGCCACCATGTCCGGTGAAGGAGACGCGGTGCGCAACGACTCCAAAGCCGCCCACTGCAAATCTTGGGAGGGAGGGGGGAGGTGCTGCGGAGGTGGTTGTTGTGTATTTCTCGAACGCTGAGCGAGCGAATCGGTGAGCGCGGAGGTTTGTCGTTTGGTGGGAAAAAACGGGAAAAAAAACGAATAAAATGTAAAACGTTGGGCTAAGACGATTGTTTTTGTTTGCGCTTGTGGAAAATGCCTGGTGAAAATGATTTGATGGTGGTGGTGGTGGTGATGATGTTGATGATTGTTGCTGCTGTTTGCCGGATATACAAGTGGGGTCTGTCATTATTTACCACCACACTCTGGATTTGTTCTGGGATACTCTGGACAGAAAGTAAATACTTTCCCCCCCCACCACCACACTCTCCCCGTGGAGATGTTTACTCACTCGCCTGGTACGCAGGAGGTCGTGGGTTCGTACCCAACCCTGACGCCTGCTGCTGCTGTATATTTGGAGTTGGCGTGTTCACCCTCCCCGTGGTCGCGTGGAATCGACATCACCACGCGGTTCGGATTATCCCACGCGAGTGATGACGACGATCTGCCACTTGGTGTGGGCTATCATTTGTGGCTGGCCAGGTGGCTTCATTTCTATAGCACTTCGTGCAAAAAATGCTTTGCAGGCATGAACAATACAAGTTTAATTGTAGGCAAAATAAAAATCACATTGTAACAAATTTTGAGCAAAGAACTAATAAAAAAATACCACGTGGTTTAAATCCTAATTCAAAGCAAGTTTAAAATCACTTTTTAGATGTGTTTTAAAAAGTGCTTTGATTTTGAAGAAGCCCCAAGAGCTACCACACAGCCTTACCGTGGGACCTCCTTTGTAGTACCAACATATGATGAGAGGTTTTTTTTCTGGCAACAAAACAGCTGCGTCAAGATGTTCAAACACCAAAGTGGATCTTCTACAAGGAATCCCGCTCCATTTGTGGCCACGTCACTTCTGCTCTGCAGCTCGGCGCGCTTCAGCTGGTACAACACAACACGTGGTGCAGGTAGTGGGGACAATATGTTCCACACTGCCCACCACGGATTGGTTGTCTGTCGTGCATATAATAATATAAACAGCGAACGGATGGGGTCTGTGTGTGTGGGCGGCGAGCGGCGAACGGATGTGGGTCTGTGTGTGTGGTAGCCCATACAGTCTCGGTGGTTTTGAAGTCCTTGGCTTAATTAGGAATTGCTCATTCTTCGGGATTGATGAATTTGCAATGATTGCAGTAGTCTTATGTTCCAAAGTATTAGTTGGATCTCGTTTGATTGGCCGTGTCGGGTGGTGGAGGGTTATGACACATTTATAAATAACGCGATCTCACCCAAAAACGTTGAGTATGAATAATATTGGTCGCCAATGCCTTACACGTGTTAAACATGTCTTTTGAAAAATACAAGTCGATTTTGGGTAGCAGATGAGAAAGCAAAAATCTAAATTGCAAATGCAATTTCACAAGTTCAGTTATAAAACAGGTCCTGTGGCTTTAAGTAAAATAACTGTAAGTACTGAATATCTATTAATGTCATTGAATAACTGCACACTCAACAAATTGAAAATCAACAAAACATTACTGAAGATGCAATAGCACGGCTTGTACTGCCGTCGGGTACACACGCAGTCACATTTCTGTTGATGAATAAAAACACAATTTTCTATTATTGAGCACGACTGCTTTGTCGCAGCTGCTCGTGACCCCAAGCACGAGTGTCCGTGTTGGGCTGCTGCATGCTGGGGCGTCTCTCTCTCCCCTTCAGCTTTCAAAATTCACCACTGCGGGCAAATGCAGGCAATACATTCGGGGCATTGAATTCGGAGCGCTGAATTCGAGGCATTGAATTCGACATGCAGTCCCAACATGAACAATAAAAAGACTTGGGTTGTCTAAGAAGAATGTCACTGGCTGGCCTCTGCACAATAGAATTATATGGCGATGTCACTCAAAAGTTTCACTACAAACTGCACACACAACAGGCATTTACTAATAAAAAAAACATTCCACTAGCATAGGGTAGCACCACACACTTTCCATCTACAGTGAGGGAAACAAGTATTTGATCCCCTGCTGATTTTGTACGTTTGCCCACTGACAAAGAAATGATAAGTCTATAATTTTAATGGTGGGTTTATTTGAACAGTGAGAGACAGAATAACAACAACAAAATCCAGAAAAACGCATGTCAAAAATGTTATAAATTGATTTGCATTTTGTCTCAAATACACAAGATGGTGAGTGTGCAGAATGTCCGTCAATGAGCGATGGGAATTCTCTTTGGCATAACTTCACATCTCATCCAGCTCTGCACAGCCGACTGAGATCCCCAGACCCAGCTTGT